AAGGGAATATTTTAATATGTGTAAAAATAACAAAAACAAAACAACAACACCTGGAAACTGCTAGTGCACTTTTTCATAAAGCACTGAAGGTTGTGTTAGGTGTGGTGCTGTACAATCATGAACAAGCATATATTTCTGCTTACAAAGTCTGCTATGTGCAACAGCAAGGAAGTGTGACTTTTTGGGTGGTAAACTTTCGATTCTGAAAATCTCTTCTGAAAATGTCAAGCAGCTTGTCACTTTTGGAATTCTAACTCTGACTCCATCTGTTGCAATCAATTGTGCCTTTTAATGAGAATCAATGAAGTTTGGGAACTCCACTGGCAAGTGTTTAGTTTTTCTTTTTCTTTAATGTTTTGAACCGTCTCCAGTAAGTGCAAGATCAGGTCAGGGCACTTATGAAGAAGCAGAACAGGTGAGCAAAGTCAGGTGGTAGGGAGGGCGGAGCGTTAAGTAGGGATTGTGGGCAGGAAATGAGAATGGCTGATTTGGAGGAAGATAGTCTGAATGGGGGAATATTCTCCCCATTGCTCTTTCTGCTCATCTGTGCTTTGTGCCCTTAGATGAAAACTAAGGGCTTCATCATTTGTTGGCATTCACCTGTCTTGGGAGACAATGGAAGAGTGTGCCTTCGGGGGTGAAGTCAAACCATTGAAGATTTACAGCACCTGCTGTGGCTGTAGAGACCAATAGGGGAGAGGCATGTTGCAACTGTAGCAGATGAAAGTATCCGGTTGTGCTGCTGCAGGTTCACCATGGCTTTTTTTCTCTGTGTGCCCCTCCTAGCACTCATCACTCCTATGGTCACTGCTGTAGATGCATGACCTGACTGCCTGTCTCCAGGTGCTGCAGCTGTCTGCAAGGGATTCCCAACTGGTGGGGTTAATCTTGCCAGCCTTCATAGCACGTGTGCAGACATCTTGACTGTAACACAGAGTTGGTCTGCCAACAGGCCTGGTTCCTGAAGCCAGCTACCCATAGAGCACATCCTTGGGGATCCTGCCATCTTCCATTGTATGGGCATGGCCAAGTCAGCATGGACATCTCCCTTCTCCATTCCATCCCTCTCCCAGATCAGACTAGCTGCTCAAAGCATGAAACTTCTACCTGATCTTGTGGAAGGTGTGCATGGTCAACCTATTTCTAAGGTGCATGTGTATGTGATGGATTCAAGAGGACTCACAGTTGACTTTTGTTTACTCACATTGCAATTAAAGAAAGTGTGATTATATATAGGAAAGCAATATTAAGCCAGAAGTTGAAAATACTGTGACTTGGCTCACAATCACCCAAACTATACCAAGGTAGGTTCTGTCAAGCCAGAAGGGTAGCTTGGTTGTCTGTCAAAATCCTAATAAATGGCAAAGAGAATCGCAGTGCACCTGAGACACAAATTTGTTGTGAAACAGTTATCTGTGAACATCCTCTGTCACAAAGAGAATGTCGGCTTGTTTGCCAGCAGTCTTGATTTATAATGAATTTGGATATTGCAAACTTCCATACATAGGAACATGGTGCAAAGATGAAAATGGGACGTTGTGGTTACAGTATGCTACACTATAGTGTTAATATTTCTCCAGACTGGCTAGAGCCACCTAGGTAATATTTCATCAAGCATTATTTTCCCCTTCATTCAACTCTGATGTGCTTACCCTTTGCTTTGGAGCTATAAAAGTATGTGCAGAGGTGAGGAGGGTTTTCACTGAAATGTCACCTTCAGTAAAACATGCAGGCATGTTTGCATGTTAGCGTGTGGTGGGGAGAGAGTAGGTTCGGTGCCGCTGAATGTAACATGTGAAAATGTCATATAATTAAATAAATTAGTGCCATTTCATTTAATAAAAGTCCTCAATATGTATGTATTTTTTAAAGCCTTTCTGAAAGAAGAAAGCAAAATGATGTGTGGTTGTGTTTCAGCCTGTGCATGGACGGACACACATACACACAGATTTCTGATGGCCAGACACTTTGGGGAGTTTGCCTTTTCTGATGTATGTGTTTCATTAGCTTTTTCAATGCTTGGAGTTTTGTTTTTTTTCCCCTTCTCCCCAGCAGTTTTGTAGAGCCTTTAGAAGTTGTGTTAGTTAATTTATCCTTCCTAGTATGCTAAGGGGAATCCTTAAGGTAATAAATAGAGGCATAAAGCTCTTCAGGCTATGAGGCACATGGTAGGAAGCATGAAAATGAAATGTGGAAAGACAAACCCTAAGGTAAAGATGCTGGTAGTTTACACCCAGCAAGGGGATTATTTTTTCTTCCTTATAAAGTCAGCACTTATGATCAAATCAAATATGTGAGGCCTGGTTCCTTGAGAGCAACTTTGCTGCAAAATTAAGTAGGGAAGAGCCAATAAGAATCACTGTTGCTTACCCCTGCTTATTCTGTAGCAGGAGCTTAAAGGCTAATATGCAGGACAGGGCAGGCATTAGAGGATGGAGGAGACTATAACTACTGAAATGAATGGATGGTCCTACTACTACATCTGGTCTCTGGAATTTTGTTTAATACTGTAATGCTCTTAATGCAAAAACCAAAACACCTTACATCCTTTAATTTTTTACAGAATTTCCAGTGAAAACCTATTTTATGAAAAATGAGCTGAACAACGTAAATGGCTAAATGTTTGCCAAAATAACCTTGTACATATATCTCTGCAGAAAACTTGCAAAGTCAGAACATGTTAGAGGCAAAGCTTCATGGTCAACATGACCAAAAATTGGGCCCCAGCTCTAAGCACTCTTGGGGGGTGTGTGTAAAGTATCTATCATTCTCTCCTTTCTCGTGGCAAAGGACTGAATTGACAAGGACCATTTATCTGTTCTTTTACCCCCCCCCCTTCAAAAGCCAAACCCTGGCTGTTTGGTTTAAGAAATCATCATTTTTGGGGGGGTATGGTGAAATGGGAGGGATGATTCCTAGAAAGATATCTTCTGAGGCACTTTTTGAATTGTGAGATGTGAAGCTACAACTTTCACTTTAGAGTAACCACAAAATGGTAGGACTGAATGCTAAACTGTGATTAATCTTAACTATGGTTTGAAGGTGACTTGTTTCTACTAACAAAAGATAAGACTAGCTGGAGTTTGTCCAGGTTCAGATATCATGACAACCGAAATGGAAGTGAATCTTCCAGATTTGTGCAGATGCAGCCAGTGTTCTTAAGACTGGAATACCAGGTTAGTTGTCCATATGCTTTTATGGCTGGGGAAACCCAGCCAGTTGGGCAGGGTATGAATTATTATACACAAACACACAACATAGCTGCGTACCAAACTTATTGTGCTCCGAGCCCCAAAACCCATCCTTCGTGGAAATAAAGACACAGTGGAGACAGAATTTAGTTTAAATGTTAATGGGCAAATTTTGGCCACAACTTTATTAAATACACAAATGTGACTGGTATTGATTTAGGCATTGGTATCAAAACTATAACTGGCTCCTGCCCACCCTGCGGGAAGCCTGGAAGGGTAAACAACCAGCAGGGGGAGCTCCATCAGTGTATATTGACTGATGCTCACCCCTGGGGTTCCTGGGGGTCCTGGCGTGGCCCTAGCCCCTCTCTGGGCTTCAGATGAGATCCAGACCCCCAGATTCCTTTAACAGAATACCCTATTCATTGGAGGGGCAGGTGATGGCCGTACCTCACCTCCCCACATTCCCCTAAACCAAAGCCTAACCGCCAAGCCTTAGAAAGTTGTGACGATTGCTAAGAGGTAGGCAAAAACCGAGTGGCCACAGCCAATCTGCCACATTGGGAAAAATTCCTACCCAGCCCCCATTCCAAAACAGGTGACCAACCGAAGTCCAAAGCAAGGCCAAACATGACCTAATTAACGGGTGGGTGGGCGGGTGTTTGGCAGTGTGAAGCAAAAGGAGGTCCCTATGTCACGCTGCCAAATAAATACCCCCAACCTTGCCACGCTGCTGATTGGCTAAGGCCATTGGCATAACTGTGGCACCACCGGCTTGGAGTGGGGCAAGCTCCACCCATAAGCCGGTTAGGGAAGAGTTCCAGGGCCAAGCGCAACATGGATCCTCTGTTAGGAGGATCCAACTTGCTGAAATAAAAACTTGGAAGAGATCTAAATGAAAGGCTGTTTGGATGTTTCCTTCACATTATTTTCCCTTACTCAAGATAATTTCTGCAACTTCATTTGCAGGCCACATGCTGGTGTTGATCTTTAAAGCTCTAGATGGCTTGGGCCATCTGCTTTGCCTTCACAGGTTAGACGGGTGGTTATTCAGCCCTAGCACCTCAGATCTGAAACTCCTTCCCTATAATTTTGGTGCTGCTGGAGCTTCTGTAACAACATTAGAGTCCACTTAACTATAAAATCTGTAGACATTTTGTTTTGTTTTACAGCTTCAGAAACAGTTGTTATCTTTCTTGGGTATTGTGGAAAAGAGTAGAATATAATTTTGTGAAGTATTTTGGAAAAAAAGAAAGATGAGGTGTGCTGGGGATTGGTTTTAATCCTATTTGGTGCCACAAGTTTCACTTTAGCATGCTTTAATTGTTGTTGTTGTTATTTTATATGCTTCTTAGCACAATACAACAATAAAAATATTCATTTTGTTGGCAAATTTGAAATGTTGTAACCTATCCTAGGCAGTTAGAATATACATTTATATAAACGAGTATATATGACATATGATAGACCTGCACAATTTGTGGTACACCAAATCAAAAGCAGCCAACAAGTCTTGCAATGTGGAATGCTGCGTGCTGTAAATCCCCCGGTCTACTGTTTTAGGCAGGCATGAAAAGCTGGAAGTTTCTTCAGCCCCTGAAGTGCTGCCATGCATGGCTGGTGGACTGAGTTTTATATGGTAGGTCATACATTGTGCAGCCCTGACATATGATACCGATATAGTCAATTATGCAGCTAGGGAAAAATGGGGAATCTATATTTAGGTTGTAAATGTCCTGAAGTCCCCCAGGTCTGCTTATCTCTTTGGTCTCTCTCTCTCTTTCTGTCTTTCTCTCTCTCTTTCTCTCAAGTGCTCCCCACCCTCTCCCTGAGAGAATCAATGCCTGCTTCACCATCTCTGACTACCGGGAGGCAACATCCAATGTGGTACACAGCACTGCTTTCTCTGAAGACGTTTCTTCCTTCTCTGCTGAGAAGGGTGCGGGCATCCAAGAAGATGTCTTGGGATGCAGAGCCAAAGACTATACACAGAAACTCTCCACGTTTCCTCTCTTTGAATTGGTCTTCTTTGTTGTGAAGAACTTGAACATATTGAAAGAGATGGGACCCCACTTCTTGGTAGCCAGGCCTAAAGGCCCGTCCAAAATTTTTAGATGGAAAATGAAGACCAAAACAAACATTTCTTTGGCTGGCATCTGAAAGAGGCATAAAAAAATCCCAATCTTACCACCCAAGACACATTTCTCAAGAGCCTAATGGCTTTGCACATTTAGGTAACAAAATACTCCTTCCTTTAAAAGACAAGGTTATGGAGTAGTTGGCATCTGTTTGCTGATGATGTTCCATACTCTCTTTAGACAGGGATACCCCATCCCCAATAATATATAAACATTTGTGCTGATGAATGCACGTTTTCTGTCTTTAAATTATTGGGAAATGCATATATTTGTACTGCAATGTCAATTTTGAAAGTTTTAAAATAGTCTTCCATGAGTGCTTCACAATACAGATCACATCAGTTTTATTGGTGGTAAATAAAATAAAGGCAAATACCTTTCCTCACTCGATGGAAAAGATCTGATATTACTTGATCAATATTAATCACCTTGCTTTATATTCACTTTTTGGAGGCACATGAAAACAACAGTAGACATCCTCTATATATACGCCAGAATGTATTAGAATAGGGACACAATCCAGTTCTTTAATGTGGAGGTTTAATATTGCGAATGTACACCAGAGCACTGGTCCCCGTGCTAAAATAATTCATGGGAGAAAGAACGCTCCCCCCCCCGCCCCATCCCCAGGAGAGGACGTTTCCCGGCACTTGTTAGTCTGGTCCTGCAGAGCTGGGAGCAAAGAGTGAAAAAGTTGCCCAGACTGGCATGTTATGTCCATCCTTTATTCTGCCATCATAGGGCTGTGGGTGAGCGCATTTCTTCAGCCCCCTCCCCCCACTTCTGTTCTAAGTGCCAGTTCATGGGATCCAGGATGGGGTTTTGAATACCTTCCAGCAGGAAATACACTCCCTGTCACCACAGGCTTTCTGTGGCCAGACCCTCTTGCCTGACAACATGCATGTGTTCAGTGGCACAACTATTCTGGGGTGGCAGTAGGTTTTGCACATGATTAGGCCCTCACACAGATTTGGGCAGAAACACTTTTCCTCCTTCTGCAGCTTGTCCCCTGTGCATGCACTCAGGGAGCCGGATATTGCTCCAAGCCCTTAGGTAGCCTTAGGTTAGTTTGTTCTGTAAGAGACCAAAAGCATTTCACTGTTTGGTTCAAATTGTTCAGCACAAAATAGATTCCAAATATCTACTTGCAATAAAGAGCAAAGCAGTGGGTTATCAACAGGCACTTGTCAAGTGATCAAATTCATTTAAAAATATTTCTGTTTGAATTGTAATAACTAGTCCATGCACCTGGGAAAAAGAAAATAATTCATAGTCAGCCAAATGACAGCTTAATCTTGCAACCACTTTTCACTTGGGAAGCCACCCAAGAATCAATGGTAAAACTTTGCCTGGAGTTGTTGCTGGCTTGGACTGAAAATTGGTATATACCTGTGGCTTGATTAGATCTTGTGAGAAATATTTGTAATAAAGTGGCACAGAGTATGACTATACTTTATGTAGTGCATTTTTCTGAGGGGGGGGGAATAATCACATGGTATTTATCAGCATTTCTAGAAAGCTGTCAACCATTAAGTGGTGCTTGTAACCCCCTTTTTAAAAATGTAAATCCACTGTGGTGTAATATATCAAAGAAATAAAAGCTAGAAAGTTGTCTGAGGCTGATTCTCATTCATGGAATAAATCCACATTTTTATACCACAAAATAAAGAAATTGGTGCATTTTTCTCTTCTCCATTGTGCAATGAGCATTCATCAGAACCGACGTAGTCATGTCAAAGATTTATTGGAGTCTCTCAGGCATGTTTAGGTAGTTCTTCCTTGCACTCAGGAACAGCGACCCCTCTATCTGCCTACCTAGCAGTTTAGCAACATATGAAAACCTGTAACTCTGATTTGTGCATCTATTAGCCTGTGGTTATTATTGAGACAATGTATGTGAAGTGGTTAGAAACACACAAAAAGCACTTTTATAAAGGAATCCTTCCCTAACTATAATTGGTGCTGCTGAATTGTATAGACAGGTTCCCCAGCCCCTTTTTTTTAAGCTGGCCAGTGAAATAGACTGGCCAGTAGGCTCAGGGCAGATGATACAACAGGCAGTTAATTTATGGAATTCACAATACATGGTTTAGATGGCTTTAAAGATAGGGATGGGATGAGAATTAGAGCAAGGGTGGACCACTAGGCAAGCACTCTTTTACCTGAATAGTGAGCAGAACTGGGTGGGGGATGAGGAGTGCAGAGCCTTGAGGGCATATCTTGAGCAGGTCTCTGCTTGGATTCTACTTGCCTTTTTAAAATGTCAACACTTTCCCAAAGGAAGCAGGAAGAAGTAGCAGCTACCCAGTAGAATGCTCCAATGAAGGCAGAAGGTTTGCGTGGGCTGCTTGCCTTGCAGACAGCAATTCACAGAGCTGGATTGCAAACCCCATGATTCCTTGGCAGAAGATATACCATTTCTGACCAGAAAGATGGTCTGCTGGGGCAGACCTCTCTACCAGTCCATTATTCATTCCCTCCTTCCATGGCTTTCTGTTTCTTTTTGCTCTGGAGAACAGGATGGGTAGCAGCTGAAGGATGGCTGATACTTTCTGCATCAAGTTGAACGCTTAGAGAGCATTCTAAGGACTTTCTCAGGATAAGCCCTTAATATTTGAGGGGCGTAACTGCTCCTCAGGATGAGCCCAAGGTGGCCCGTTTCTATTTTAAAATATTGGACAGACTCAAGGAGGATAGTTCTCTCGACTGCTATTAGGGATGACATTGAAATGGTATGTCCAAGTACTAGCTGGTGGGAACAACAGACAACTTGCGGGGGCTGCTGCATTAGCCTTACTTGTAAGATTCCCAGGAGCACATGGCAAGTCACTGTGCTGGCAGCAGAACAAGATGCAACTTTCATCCAATCCAGTTTTGAGCATCCTAAATGGCTGCAACCCAACATCACATAGGAAAAGTCTTAATGTCTTTAGTCAGTCTTTGGATTACATAACCACTTTAAACTAAAAATGTTTGTGAAGTTCCTTCCTAAATACATTGCCCAGTTTATTCTCCATGGACCACACACCACAACCCTTAAGTCAGGCTGACTTGTGGTGGTTTGCTGAAAGCCAGCAACTAAACCAAGATCTCCTGGCTTCAGATCCAACTTTCTAATTGGTTCTCATTTACAGAGCACCTCTCATACATACTAGGTTATGCCAGTTTTGGTAATCAAAATTACTAATGTTTCCAATTGTTACTAAGTGTATTTTTCCTGCTAAGTTTAGAGAAGCTCAGGAATGGACTCATTTCACAATTAAATAAACAACAAGAAACATAACACAAAGTTATGGTAGCATTGAGTAGCCTTATACTGAATTATTTGGCACCCCAGTATGGCTTCTGGAGTGGTTCTGTATGCTCATGTAAGAACACTTTCTTCATATGGGTCACACAACCCACTGAAATAAAATACCACAAATTACAACTGTATGAGGAATCTAGCTCTGAGCAAACAGAGTTGATGCAAATGTTACCTTAAAAACCAGGGATATTCAAACATGACTATGAATACACATCCCTAGAGAGAATATTTACTTGGCCTATCCACACTCTTTTGGTTTTCCTCAGTGCATGAGGATAAAAAATAAGATTTGCTTGAAATTTTACTTCAGTCTGATGAACAGTTTAGGACTGACTGTGTGAGGCCTGTCCGGAATAATCTGAAAATTGCATCACAACATTTACCTTGCAGTCTTTCAGATTTTCATTTTTAAGAGCAACCATAGATTTATATTGTGTCTAGGCAAATTTTAAATGAACCTCTAATACTCGCCTCATGTTCTGTGAACATACTGAAATGGTGGTTATCTGGATTGTGGCTTTTTTTATAACTAAATATAGATATTTAATTGTGGTGGGGTTTTTTTTGAGAGGCAGGGTAAAAAATCTGATGTCACAAAAGAACCTTTTGGAAACATGATCTGCAAAGTGCTTAGTCATGAATCTTATCTGAAGCAAAAAAAAAGAGCACATTTAATTATGCAATTTTGTAGCTGTGAAATAAACTCTCCTATTTGAGGGAAAGTGGCTATATTATAATTGCTATAAATGGATAACACAATTTCCTCTGTTGTTTCTTTGGGATGGAATGTTGTTTGTCAAATATGCCAGGGAGCCGGGGGTTATTTTCCAATTAAAATTGCTCTTCGGTCTGGCTGTGATAGCATATGGTTGTGTTAAAAAAAGAAGAAAAAGAGTCAATTTAAATCCATTTAAAATTATTAATTCTAAATAAAATTGGTGTATATATGTGCCAATGTGAATCCACTTGAAATTTACCCACTCAAGTACTCCAAATGCATGGTATGCATTTGTTTGCTAATATATAAGATAATAATCATGCAAATATAACCTTCAAAGGAAGCTTATGAATCACTCTTTAAAGCATTAGCAAGAATTGCGTTTAGGACCCACCACCAAAAGCCAACAATATTACAGCCTTTGCCAGTCTTCTGATGATCTCAAATTGATGCATGTAATATGTAGCTTCAGGGGAAATGGTCCAGACCAACACAGACAATCAGAAATTAATTGTACTCTGCTGCTTGAATAGAAGAGCTGGATTCAGCATTCTGGTTCATTATTGTAGCTTACAGTGGCTCATCCTTCCACAATCTGCCTGAGATGGGACAGGGCAGGATCTCTGAGCCAGACTGCCTCTGAATGCCGGGTTCTGCTTCTGCCTCCCTCTCAAGCACCTGCAAATCATCCATTCCCAGTGTGGTCCCCATTTCAGCTCACTTGACTTTGCCCCCACTAATGGCTGTACAGAGGCCTTCTGTAGTAATGATTAATTAATTCCTAGTGGTGATCGCCCTTGTGTGCTTCTGCAAAGCTCTTGAGGCAGGCAGGCAGTTCTCCAGCAGATATTTCATGTTTCAGAAACAGCAAGGGGAAGGAAGAAATGGTGAACTGGTGTCTACCCCATTGCAGCCAACATACATTATATGGGGGAAAGGGATAGGAGAGTATATGTGTTTGAGGGTGTGTATTTGAGACTGTGTGGGACACAGCAGAAGTGTGTGCAAGGGCTAAAAGGTTGTCAACATGTTTGTGAAGTGGAGGGAGCTTTTCTCCTACTGCAAATGGCAGATATGGATTCTGACTGGGCTTATGGTGCAGACAACAGGTTTAAATCTTCCTCCTACTCCATGGTCCCAATATGCCCACCCCACCCCACCCAGCTGTTTCTGAAAGAAAAAAAATCAACTGCACAAAGTATCTGCTGTTTTTTTGTCAAGTGGTTGCAAGGAGAGAAAGACAGTGAGAAATTCAGCGCTGCACTTCAGGTGTAAAATGTACCCTCTCTTGAGATACTAAAGAAGGTGATGCCTCTGAGTCAATGGGGTTGAGGTACGCGGAAAGACTCTTATGTAGGGATAACCAGCACTGGGGGGTGTTTCACATTGAGAGTATGAAAACAATGCGAAAAAATAAAAGGAATAAGAGTGGTAGACAAGAGGGTGAAGAAGGGGGAGAAGGAAAAAAGAAAAAGAAATGTCCATTAAGAAGGCTGAGGTGATTCTCTGGTGAACTTTGAAAACAACAGAAGCAACATTACCCTTCCTCCTCAAATGAATAGTGAGTTGTTTAATAAGACAGATAACAATTATAGGTTTTAGTTCCAGCACCATTGGTATAATATTTTTCACAAGAACACTTAAGTGCGTGTGTATGTACTATATCAGGTCTAGGAGACCCCATTATGTTAGCTATTCCATGAATAATGCATAGCAAGATGAACTCCTTGCCCAGCAGGTCTTCCAAGAAGTAGAAGAAGTGGGGGGGACGGGGGACATAAAGCGAATGAAACACAGAGGAAGCTGGAGTGGGCTGTCCAAAATATTTTACTTTACACTCTAGTTTCAGATTATTATTTTTTAAAGACCTTGTAAGAGTATTTCGGCTGCTCAAGGGTGGTACAGTGGTGGGAAGTTACTTAAGGGGCTGAAGTCTCACTGCAGCTGTGACCTTCCTACATAGACCTAGGCAAGCCACGCACTCTCGGCCTCTGCTTCTGGCCTGCAGTACAGGAGATAGTAATAATACTGACCTACCTTGCAAGATTGTTCTGAGGATTCTTGAGAATGTATGGGATGGGCTTTAAAAGTACTATGCGCAGGCTAAGCATTGTTTATTAATAAAGCCAATTGTCTCCAATGCCCACCATTTCACTTTCTCGCCTCTTGTAATCAAGTTTGTTCTCCTTTTAGGAGAGCAATTGGCCACCCATATTTCAAAATTAGTTCCGTTAACAATACTTATGTGTCATCTTATGTTTATAATTAGAACAATTTCTTTTCATTAGATTCCTTTAAAAAAATAAATCAGGAATTCTGAAATCGACTTTGTGTGAATGTATAGGATCATTACTCACTGTACAAGCAGATAGCAAATCACAATTTTTCATCTTCTGGACTAAAGGTTACAAAAAGCACAGCTTGATGATTTTCAAGTTCAACTGTTTTAAGAATATCTGAATAGTAAGCAGCAGTGAATGGGAAGTGTGTTTAGCTTGACTTTTCACTACTTTTCTCTGATTGTGAACATTACATTGTTGAGAAAGAACATTACATTGTTGAGAAAGAGGTGTGGATAGGAAAATGC